CAGTGGTTCTTGAGAAGATTTTAAATGACTAAATCCAATTTTTCTTTTTCTTAGACTAGTTATCTCCCCTTGAAAGAGGGTGTGACTCTTCATTTGAACAAACTTGAATCTTTTTTAACCAAGGATACTCTTTGCCAAGTTTAGTTGAAATTGGCCCAATGGTTCTTGAAGAAGATTTTTTAAATGACTAAATCCAATTTTTCTTTTTTCTTAGTTATCTCCCCTTGGAAGAGGGCGTGGCCCTTCATTTGAACAAACTTCAATCCCATTTAACCAAGGATACTTTTTGCCAAGTTTGGTTGAAATTGGCCCAATGGTTCTTGAGAAGAAGATGAAAATGTAAAAAGTTATCAACGATGATGACGACATCAACAGACAAATGTTTAGCAGAAAAGCTCACTTGAACCTTTGGCTCAGATTTGGGCACATGAGTGTACATGGTATTAGGCTGGTGTAGGGGATCGCACCTTGTAGAGTATACAGGTGTGAGGACAAGGTATGAGTGCCAGGTGAAGCTCTATACATTGTAATTTTGTATATCTTCTACAGACTTGTAGGCCATCAAATCACCAACACACAATATCCCATTTCTACTGATTTCAAGAACTGCTTCCGGAATACATTAATTTATAGAATGATGTTTCATAGGTGACCCTGAGAATGATAATTAAATTCATACATCCAAAATCTTCTGCTTATTTTAATCTTATATTGGAATTTTAATAATAAAAAAACCCCTCATTCTTAGCCACCCACTGCCCTCTGCAATAAATGTAAAATTGCCATAGATGCATTCTTTAATCCAATCCCCTTAAAAAAAATCTAATATTTACAAAACATACTACAAAAATTTAATTAATATCAAATATCATGAATAGCCTATTGGGTATATCACCTTTCATAGTCATAAAAATATATCACCTACATTAATTTAAATCGAAGGATTTGGCTTCTAATAGAGTAAACACATTGCTTGACTTTTGCTATATGCATATCAAAAAAATGGTCAAGGCTTATATAACACTATTTGAAAATTGCAATGACAATTTCAAAATTATCTTGGTTGCATAAGAATATATTTTTAAATTATTAGAAAATTAATTTTCATTTTGTACTTAAAATATTCTAATATTCCAGCTTCTATATTTTTAATATCAACTATTACATTTTTTATTTTTCTTTCTTTCTGTTTGGTTTCGTTTTATTTTGTTTTGGTTTATAATTTCGAAGGGAGATAACTCGCCTTTTAGACCAAGACTGTTTTCACCTATGATCTGTGGGTTGCCGTGGTGGTGCATATTACCTGGATGGCCGAACCACAGGGGAACGCGGTTTTTACCTGAGACACCTGTACTAACTGTGATGAGATTCATACCGTGGGGGTGAGCGGTAAATGCATAAGCTGTGTTGACTGTACTGTATTTTCCTATAAAAAACTTTGACCCCCCTATTGTAGCCCTGCCCTACCCCTGGGGGTCATGATTTGAACAAACTTGTATCAACACTACGTGAGGATGTTTCTATAATAATATGACTAATCATGGCTTTGTTGTTCTTGTGAAGAATATTTTCAAGGATGTTTCCTATATTTTCCTATGTATAACTTTGAAATCCCCCCTCCCCTAGTTGTGGCCCTACCCTACCCCTGGGGGTCATGATTTGTTCAAACTTGAATCCACAGTATGTAATGAAGCTTTCACATAAGTTTCATCTTTTTTGGCCCAGTGGTTCTTGAGAAGATTTTAAATGACTAAATCCAATTTTTCTTTTTTTCTTAGACTAGTTATTTCCCCTTGAAAGAGGGTGTGACTCTTCATTTGAACAAACTTGAATCCCTTTTAACCAAGGATACTCTTTGCCAGGTTTGGTTGAAATTGGCCCAGTGGTTCTTGAAGATTTTTAAATGACTTAATCCAATTTTTCTTTTTTTCCTTAGTTATCTCCCTTGAAAGAGGGTGTGGCCCTTCATTTGAACAAACGTCAATCCCATTTAACCAAGGATACTTTTTGCCAAGTTTGGTTGAAATTGGCCCAATGGTTCTTGAGAACAAGATGAAAATGTAAAAAGTTATCAACGATGATGACGACATCGACAGACAAATTTTTATCAGAAAAGCTCACTTGAGCCTTTGGCTCAGATTTGGGCACACGAGTGTACATGGTGTACGGCTGGTGTAGGGGATCGCACCTTGTAGAGTATACAGGTGTGAGGACAAGGTATGAGTGCCAGGTAAAGGTCTACATATTATGCAATTTTATATATCTTCTACAGACTTGTAGGCCATCAAATCACCGACACACAATATCCCATTCCTTCTTATTTCAAGAACTGCTCCCGGAATACATTAATTTAGAATGATGTTTCATAGGTGACCCTGAGAATGATAATTAAATTCATACATCCAAAATCTTCTGCTTATTTTAATCTTATATTGGAATTTTAATAATAAAAAAACCCCTCATTCTTAGCCACCCACTGCCCTCTGCAATAAAATTGAAACTGCAATAAGCACATTCTTTAATCCAATCCCCTTAAAAAAAATCTAACATTTACAAAACATACTACAAAAATTTAATTAATATTAAATATCATGAATAGCATATAGGGTATATCACCTTTCATACTCATAAAAACATATCACCTACATTAATTTAAATGGAAGGACGTGGCTTCTAATAGAATAAACACATTGCTTGACTTTCGCTATAACCATATCAAAATAATGGTCAAGGCTTATATCGCTATTTGAAAATTGCAATGACAATTTCAAAATTATCTTGGTTACATAAAAATATATTTTATTAGAAAATTAGAAAATTAATATTCATTTTGTACTTAAAATATTCTAATACTCCAGCTTCTATATTTTTAATATCAATTGTTACATTTTTTATTTTTCTTTCTTTCTGTTTGGTTTCGTTTTATTTTGTTTTGGTTTATAATTTCGAAGGGAGATAACTCGCCTTTTAGACCAAGACTGTTTTCACCTATGATCTGTGGGTTGCACCGTGGTGGTGCATATTACCTGGATGGCCGAACCGCGGGGGTACGTGGTTTTTACCCAAGACACCTGTACTATCTGCGATGAGATTCATACCGTGGGGGTGAGTGGTAAATGCATAGGCTGTGTTGACTGTACTGTATTTTCCTATATAAAACTTTGACCCCCTGTTGTGGCCCTGCCCTATCCCTGGGGGTCATGATTTGAACAAACTTGTATCAACACTACGTGAGGATGTTTCTATAATAATATGACTAATCATGGCTTTGCTGTTCTTGTGAAGAAGATTTTTAAAAACATTTCCTATATTTTCCTATGTAAAACTTTGACTCCCTGTTGTGGTCCTACCCAAACCCTGGGGGTCATGATTTGCTCAAACTTGAATCTACAGTACGTAATGAAGCTTTCACATAAGTTCATCTTTTTTTGCCCTGTGGTTCTTGAAGAAGATTTTTAAATGACTTAATCCAATTTTTCTTTTTTTTTCTTAGTTATCTCCCCTTGAAAGAGGGTGTGGCCCTTCATTTGAACAAAACTTAAATCCCCTTTACCTAAGGATACTCTTTGCCAAGTTTAGTTGAAATTGGCCCAATGGTTCTTGAGAAGAATATGAAAATGTAAAAAGTTAACACGATGACAACGACAATGACAACGACAGACAACGGACAAATTTTTATCAGAAAAGCTCACTTGAGCCTTCGGCTCAGATGAGCTTAAAGACTTTCAGATATCCAAGGGTTTGGGTTAAAATGCAATAAGAAAATAGTTGTTGGGACTTTCAAATCACTTTGACATGTCCATGGTATATTAAAGATATCAGAGTTCAAGATACCAAAGTTCAACTTAATATCTACAACCTTGAAACTAGAAAAACTGTGAGCACTGAGCTCACAAAATGATAACCTTGTTTTTTAAAATACTGAATACAATAAATGTCATTTTAAGCATATTTTATGAATATTGAGAGTTGAAATTTAAATACAGCAATTTGCATATTTCAATTGGATTTGGTTCCATACTACTGTGATATCATAGGCGACAATTCAGTGATACAGAATTTGCACACTTTTAATGAAGTTATCAATGACAAAGGCAGCATAATTACAAAAAATAGGCCCATGGGCCACAAAGTTCACCTGAGTTACTTTGGTCCTGCTGTTCTGCATCAGATTTTTTGCCTAATATACATGTATTCCTTTGTAAAATTTTGATAACCTTCATTTTGTGAGGTCAGTGCTCACAGTTTTTCTAGTTTCAATTTATTTCATTTTACTGAATCAACTGAGGTTGAGAAAATAATCTGCTTTTTCTTGTTATTCTAAACATTTAAAATTTATACATATATTAGAATTACATGTACCAGCTCTGATTATGGTAATGTTTTGTTAATCAAGATTGCCATCCTTTACACATTCTATGCAGCTGTATCTGCATAAAATTTTGTATAATAAATGAATAATAGCACAGTACTATAATGTTAAATTTGTTAATAAAATTGGTTATAATGTGATGACAAATCAAGTTGTACAGTGAAAGTGAGTTTCTTCATATTCGCTGCATCTCCCTCGCTGTTATGTTTAAATTTTTACAGAAACATATAAGGTTGGATATCCAACCTCATATGTACACAATCGTGATTTGGTTATCCATGATGCAGAAAATCCAGTTTGTATTGCATATATTTCAGTAAGATTAATATGAACAGCTGATCAGCCATTGTCACTTTTGACCTTACATGAACACAGGATCACTATCTAAAACTTGGATATTTTATTCAGGGGTTTTCATTTGTCAGTAAGTTTTTATTATAGCGGTATGTACGCAATAAAAACACATTATTTATAAATAGTTATCATATGGAACGTACGGTAATATACTTTTAATTTCAAATAATTGCGACGTCTTTTAAACAATGCAATGTTATACTGTTTTTATTCCAAGTTCTTTTCTTCAAACACTTTGAATAAATAAACTTTGTTTAACTAATGGAAGACTTACGTTTTGGTCTGAGCCAGTGTCCTCTTTCTGTTCTTCAGCAAACTCTGCTGCTTCAATAACATGGCCCTCTGTGTAACATCGTCATCCTCATCAATGTCTGCCTCCTCTAATTCCTCTGGACTTGCCTCCTCGAGCCCTAAGTCAGTGCTGCCCTGGGAGGGCAGGTCCCTCTCAGACTCCTGCTGTAAGAGTTGTTGCACATCTGGATCAACGTCAGGACTGAGGGACTGGTCATCATCTGACCCCACAGGAAGCTACTCATTGAATAAAAAAATGTATTGATCAAAGTTTTGAACTGACATGCAGTGCCATTTTATCCTATATGATGAAACAAAAAAATACCCACTAATACTTGTTGCCAAATGAGTTTGTCAGTAAGTGAATGAAATCTCACAAAATACTGTAAGTGTACATAAATTGGCATATTCAAAATTTAGCACAATCATTGGGTATGGAGTTGGTGGTGAAATCATGAATTAGCGCTATACACGTCTGTGCTGTATATTGTATGTATAAATGATTTCTTAGTGGTATTCATGAATTAGTGGATCATTGTCTGCGCCAAAGTCGCTAAAATATGAAGCCCGCTTTTTTAAGTACACATACAGTATCCAGGACTCAACATTAACTAAAATATTCACTTGTCCATCAGACAAGTTGTCAATAAATATTACTTTTCTGAATCCACTTTTTACTTATACCGTATAGCCGGTTTCTTTAGCGAGTGTAAAATTTTTAGCTAGCTCAAAAGTATGCCGATAATTTTGGCAGAACTTTTTTTGGAGGACACAGAGTTCCATGACTTTGCAAAATTCATCTGTTAAATGAGTTTCAGTAACTTAATATTCATTTGAATATCAATTTAGGCAAAAGTTTGAGTAAATACCAATACCACATGAAAAATATCAAACATTTAAAAACAGACTGATCAAAGTTATTTAATATTTACTTGTACATATTCAGTATTTATAATCAAGGGTGCAAATTTAGCGATAAAAATTTTAGCAGTCTACTACAAAACTGCTAAAAGAAGCCAAAGTTAGCACCCTGCTACAATTTCCCAATATACAGTATAAGAACAGTGTTAAGCTTTATCATTAAGACTGAAGTAGCTATATATGAAATTAAATCTTTTTTTTGGCACACTGGATATGGCTCTTACTTTTCCAATGTGCAATAAAAGTATCCTTTCTAAACTTTGATGTACCTGTGAAAAGGGACCATAATTTGTTGGCACATTCTTTATTATTATGACAAACATTACAATATATAATGCCAATTTGACTAGTCAAGGCTGAGCTACTTTCACTTTCTTGATAGACCTCATTGTACATTATTCCAGGAAATTCAGATTTCCAGCTTTCCTGAAACAATTTTTTTTTGTACATATTTGTTTTTTAGCCTCTAACTTTCTTGTAATCATCTGAATCATCAATCCTTTTCTTAATAAACCTGTACGTTGTTAGATGTGTGTCGTTACTAGTACTTACATGTATAACTGTGAAGACCAGTTTACACATGTTAATTTTTTTTTTTATGTTAAAACACAGGATTTCATGAATTCACCGGGGATTTTTTTTTTTCAAATTAACAATTTTTCAAAATGGTTAAAAAACAAGAAGTCTGTGAGCCAATGCTCACTAATAATTCCCCCGCTCTGATGTGAATACATAAGTTCATTTATGGACAGACACATTGATAATCAGGAAATTGACATCGGATTTGTACAAAAAATGGATTCCAACATATGGCATGCCTAAACAAAGAGTGTGTTAAAATTTCAAGCACCTGTGAATGAGTAGTTGCTGAGAAAACTGCGACCAAAATTTGTTATGTATGGTATGGACAGACACATGGATAAACAGGAAGTTGACATCAGATCTGTACAAAAATGAATCCCACCATATGGCATGCCTAAACAAAGATTGTGCTAAAATTTCACGCATCTGTGATGAGTAGTTGCTGAGAAAACTACGACCAAAATTCGTTATGTATGGTACGGACAGACACACGGATAAACAGGAAGTTGACATCAGATTTGTACAAAAATGAATCCCAATATATGGCATGCCTAAACAAAGATTGTGCTAAAATTTCAAGCATCTGCAATGAGTAGTTGCTGAGAAAACTGTGACCAAAATTTGTTACAGACAGACAGACATACAGCTAGACAGATGGATGGACAGACAGACAGACACACAAGGGTAAAACAGTATACCCCCCTCTCCTTCAGAGCGGGGGTATAAAAATGAACCAGTCCAAGTGAACACTTAACTTGTCTGATCAGACAAGTGATGATGGAGATTTATTTGTCCAAACACGAAATGAACTGGACACGACTACTGGACGATCGTTAATGTTGATCTCTGATATCCTCCTTTAGAATAAACAATTCTACTGAGCCCTAGACCCACAAGACTGACCTGCTGACTGGTGTTTGAGCTGCTGTGAACACTGTCTCCATCCTCTGTTCTGTCTTGGATCTCAATGTACCGACTATCAACCACTGGAATCACATGTGCCACTTCTTGAACTGAAAACAGGACAAAATGCCAAGCTTGTTATCAAAAATATACTACTATTTTAAATATTAAATATATGCTACTTAACAAAATTTCACACTTGCTATTTGAAAAGTAATGTGTAATGAATTGCATTACTATAGCAAAGAAACTGCAATGTAATGCATTATTCATATCAAAGAAAGAAATGGTTTTATCAAAGGAAACTAAAGATACCTGATGAACTTGCAATTGTAATGAAATGAATAACACTGCAATGTAATCAAGGCATTGCTCCACGATATTCTCAAGCTTATAGTTAAATAAACCCTGTTGACCATAGCTTGTGTACCCCTGGACTTAAAATCCCTCTTTCCCTGGTCACTAAGCATGTGTAGAAAAAAAATACTAAAAAAGAGTCAAGTTCAAATGATAATCTTTATATTATTTCCATGACTCTTTATGCCCATTACTGACTTTGACCTTGTCATTTGACCTTTTGACTCTATAATTAATCAGTTTTTTTTCTGGCTTCCCTATAGCAAGTACATTGTGTGTACTGTATTAAGTATGTGAGTGTGTGTTTGTTTGTGTAATTAGTTTCAAGTTTTTGATTAGTGTGTAAGTGTGTGTGTGTGTGTGTAATCATTTTCATGTAGGTTGCACACATGAAAATACAAATGACATTGTTTTTGTTCCTTCCTTTTTGACAACCTTCACCATCTTTTCTTTGGGCTCACCTTTTTGTGATTTGGGTTTGTTTTCTATAGTGTATTTCATATTTTTCATCAACTCTGTCTTTTTTGAGTTGGAGACCAGCCCTCTTGTAGCTTTTTCTGCAGTAGCAGATTTTCTGGATTCCACCCCACTAGATCCACTCCTTCCATGAAGTGTCACAGTTACAGGTTTCTTAAGTCGTGTTCTAGCATCCTCTGAAAAAATGGATTGTAGGTCAATTTCAGTACAGCTGAACTTACATTATTTCACAGAGGTTAACTCCTGCATGTAGATGAATGATCACTGATACTTGTAGGATGTTTTTAATTCTGAACGTTAAAAACTGTGGTTTTTACCATCAGCAGAAATGATAAACTTTCCTTAAAAACTATATCAGCTATATGAATGTTATACTGTATGTGTACTTAAAAAAGCGGGCTTCATATTTTAGCGGCTTTGGCGTGGACAATGATGTGCTAGTTCATGAATATAGCTAATAAATCATTTATCAATACAATACATGGCACGGAAATGTGTAGTGCTAATTCATGATTATGCCAACAACTCAATACCCCTTGATTGTGCTAAATTTTGAATATGCCAATTTATGTACATGTACAGTATTTTATAAAATAGATACTGTATACTTCTTTTAACTAACCTTTGGCACTGTACAATTTTTCCTCTTTAAGTACAGCATTCATAGCCTTAGAAACAGATTTCTCAGCTTCTGCCGTAGCTTTCAGTATCAGGCTTTTGTTGGCTTGTTTTGTAATTGGTACACTGGACCTAAACAGATAAGATTACTTTTTAAAAACTCTTCCAATTTGATCTTAAACATTCAAATCAATTACTTAAAGAACATTTCTTGAGTTAACATTCACACAGAGAACAAAATACCAACATAGAATAAGAATTATACAGGAAATAATGTAAATGAGCTGCTTTAAGTAACAGTGTTAATGAATCTTGGTGATCAATGCAATTCTGCAGAGTAATAATGAGTAAAGAATTATTCTTAAGATCAGCCGGCAATCTATACATACTTTCTAGGTCGAGAGGAGACCTGGACCACACTGGCCACGCTGCCCACTGCGGGGTTGTAAGGGTCGTACTCCTCTTCTTCCTCCAATTCAAACTTCCTCTTCACTGAGGCCACAACAGACGTAGGCTGTCGCCTTCTGGGAGGAGTTACCTACCAAACAAACATATTCTCAGTATATCAAGCATAAAACAATTCTTTTTTCTGTATAATCAACATATTCTGGAATATCTACAGTGTAGAATTAACAACTAGGTGAAATTTAAAAATCCACTGAAAAGAAAAAAAGATAATTAAAAAACTTAGCATGCAGCATATTTTGGTAATTAGAAGGGCTAGGTATGCACACATTGTAGAGCAAGAACATGACAATTTTCATCACTATAGTTAATTCCAACTTTAATCTACAAAAAATGTGTCTACTGAACAAAATTCTCAATCAAAATACTCAGTATATAATAGCTGATAGAAGAAATAATTTGCATTTATTTGTACAGTACAACCTCAATGTCTGAACAAGACTTTAATCGGCTACCAGTTTTAGGCATCATGGCATCTAAAATTTCTAATTGGTGACTAAAACCTCTCCACAAGTTGCCAAATTGGTGATCAATATAAAATGACTTGACTACCATCAAATTACAGAACTATAAACATATTCACTAATGGGGATTTTTCCCAAAAGAGGCAATTTTTTTGCAATAAAAATGTCTTGTGTTTTCCTCTGTTACATAGGCCTGTTTGATTGTTTTCCCCATCAGACCAGGATCAGGAGCCAGCTGGCACCTAAATTTTAGAGGTCACTTTGAGGCCTGCTGAACAAGGAAAAATTCCTGTTGAAAAAATACCTGAGTTTTCAAGATATTGAACTTGCATGTAAAACTCAAATAAATAAAAAGATCAGGATTGCCATCTCACTTCAACACATCCCTAGTAAACATCATATTGATTTTCAAAAAGTTCAACTGTATGTTAAATAAATTGTCATTCATGATACACAGAACAAAACTTACAGTTCTCTTTGATGATGAGGGTCTTTGGACTGTTCTGCCTGGGGGTGAATCTCTAGAGGAGGTTCTTCTCTCTTTATCTGGAGATATAGGTAGACCTAGGCGAGAATGTACTGATACTGGCTTCACAGCAGACTTGGCTTTACTCTGAGAGCTGACCTGACTAACCTTCTGTTTATTATCCTGGGATGATGCATCTAAACAAATGAATTCAAACTCTGAATTCCTTACGTACATGCATATTTTTATATCCTGAATGTGAAGTTAATCAGATATATGAGGATATTATTGCTTATGTGAACATGCTTTGCAAGAGGTTTCTCTGCCATCGTCTTACTATTGGAATTTGTTCTATGACAGTTAACTTTTTCTTTACCATCATATACATATTAACAAAATTCCAGGTAAAAGAAAAAGTGAAAAATAAAAACCTGCATACATCAAAGTAAAAAGAAAGTGCTTTATAAAAAGTTTCCTACTTTTATCAGCTGGTTTTGTCTTCCCCTTTGTTACACTAGGTTCCTCTTTGAACTCTGCAGCAAACTCATCTGATGAATAAATGAAAACTGTACCATGAATCTTTATTCTTATTTAAATTATCATCATAATTTTTATCATTTTAACTTAGAAACTTCTTTAAAAAGGCAAAAACAAAAAGCATCTGTTTTATTTTTCTTTTTACATATGACCCTTCCAAAATGGTCTTGTCACTTTTTAAATCCAAGTATGTTTTACCCCCTTTGAGGAAATATCACAAATTCATATAAATCCTGAACTCTTATCAACAACATTTATTAAAAAAACAATATGACATCTTGTGAATATATGCAGTTCCTTTCACATTATCCCCCTTAACTCCATCTACTTACCTTCCTCTTTGTTCGTCAGCAAATCCTCAATTTCTGGGTCTACTTCAGGACCAGCCTTGCTTTTTTTGCCCTCTTTGGTGACACTTTTGACCTCCTTTGTCTTTTCCCTACTGTCTTTGATTTTCTCTTTTGTCTTTTCTTTCTTCTCTGTTGACAGCTGCCTTTTCCCTTGCTTCTCTTTTTTATCTACATAAATCTCTTTCTGATGGTCATTATCTTTTGTTTCTGCTTTTTCTAACTCTTTTGATTTCTGTTGGTCTGCAAAATATTGAAAATAAAATTTACAGATAAAACAATTAAATAAAGTGTACTGCAAGTATAAATGATATGCTCAACTCGAAAAACAGAATCAATGATACAATTCCTAGAGATTATTCAACTGACAAGGTTTGATGATTCTGTTTCTCACACTGAGCAAGATATGATCTGGGCATGATTTAAGTATACTTACTCAAAAATTTCAGTCAGCAAAAAATATCTGTTATACAACATCATCTAAAAACAAACTTCTGATAAATAATTAGTACATACTGATTGTATTTGTACTCATAAAACATACCTGTTCCAAGACTTTGAAGCTTTTTCAACAAAATGTGCAACCTGAAAATTCAAACAAGACAAGCTATAAAAGTTGTATAATTATGTACAAAAAATACAAGTCTAGCCGATCTTTTGTAATGTACATAAAGAATATTCTGCAAACTTAAACACTGAAAGACTGTAAAGAATATTAAAGGTAACTGTAAGATAAATAATCAATATATCTTAAATATATGACACAATTTGAATTGATCTGCATATATAAATACCATGATGTGAACTTTTCTGTGTTGTGGCTTAGGAACAAATTGAGATCACTGTTCATCTGTTTTTCTGTCTTTTTATTGGCAATCATAACCATAATGTAGTCAGGGAGTTCATCATCTTAAAAATAAAAATAAAAGTGTTCTATTCTCTTTGTACGTAGATTGCCTCCAAAATAAAACAAAAGCCATAAATACTAAAAAATTATATTAATAAGAAGAAAAAACAGATTTAAAGCAATCTGTTCCAGAACATTGTCATAATAATAATTATTAATGAAATCAATACTATTATATGATTGAATAATTCCTCTCTCTCTGATTGCCTGAGATCCAACAATGTAGAAAAAATACTACATTATATTGACCTGCACGTGACCTTCTAGGTCAATATAAGGATTTATTTCCTCTACATTAGTCTAAAAATAGATTGGGAAATTCGAAATTGATACAAATACTTTTGGAAAGCTATTTCACTAGCTACCAACATATAACATAAGGGAATATATAATTTGGGGTGGGAGTGGTTTGGGAGGGGGTGCATGAGACCACCCCCAACCCCTTTTTTTCTGAACAGAAATTTTTACTTTCAATTTAGAAAAAATATATTCATTGAAAGTTTGGTCCCCCATTAATGGACCTTAATCCCCAACCCCTAACCCCAAAACAAAATTTGAAGTAAAGAGAATTCTCTTTTGGGGCGGGGAAAGGGGGGGGTAGTCAAAATTTTTTTCAGCTGTCATGGAACCCCCTCCCCCTTTTCAAAATCGATCCTATAAAAGAGCCTGATATTATTTCCTTTTTTCATAGTAACTAAAGTAAATTAAAAAAAAAAAATTAAAATTAATATGACTGGTAAAGATTATTTAACCCTGCTTCTCTCATTGTGTTTGGCTAGGACTTCAGCAAATTTAAATAAGTAAGATTGCATGGACAGCTTAATGAGTTTGTTTCATTAAAGCATTGAATCATTTAATAAAACAACTATTGCTGTTTTTTTCAATCAATACGATGATTTAGCCACCTGAGGAGTGCAATATTCACCGAGCCCGAAGGGCTTGTATTGACCTCAAAAACAGCAATACTTGTATATTACATAATCATTATTATAATTAATACATATCCATACAAATTCATCAAAACCTTACGGTAAATAGATAAGTAAGATTTTATTGAATTTCTTGCAGGAAACTATAATCAGAATTTATCAGATACTATGAGTAATGTTTACTAGGGCTGTGATCGAATCATGAGGGGAAAAGATATCAATGTATCATGGTATTTCAGAAAAATATTGCAATATACTGTATCATGATGTATCAACTTTTTGTTAATTTACTAGTTTTCCATAATTGTTTCTGATTTTAAGGGAGGAAAAAAGTAGATTTCAGCATTTCATTTTCAAAGAATATCATTCCAATAGTCTTTTTAGTGTTTAAAGCAAATATAAGCAAAATAAAAATTGAATCTTTTTTATTTTTAATTACTAAAAAAAGAAATTTGATTTTTTTTTTTTTTTTTTTTTTTGGAATTTTAATCAGTTCAACCATATTGGAGGTGACAGTATGTTATACTCTTGATTAATTTCTGGATTCCAAGAATTTGGAAAAGGGAGGGGTTGAATCCAGTGGTCATGAATTTCACAAAATCTGGTTAAAACAGTTACAGCCTTGCTCATTGTAACTGTGTACTTGGTTTGCCTGCTAGATGACCTGAAGCAGAGAAGAAGATTTTCAAAGAATTGCATTTTCACTAGATGATCAATACAGCTCTGCCCTAACACCTGAACCTCTGACACAGGGGCCAAGAATTTCACAAATTAAGTAGAAGCACCCCTGTTCATCATATCCACTTAATTTGCCTGCTAAATACAGGAAGAGAGGAGGAGATTTTTGAAGAATTTATGCATTTTCACTATATGATCAATATAGCCCTATCCTAACACCAGAACCCCTGACCCTGGGGCTGATTTGCTTTCTCTTTAATATCTTTTAAGTTTTACATACATCTAGAATGAATGTGCCTTAAAGAAAAATTAAGCCATATAAATTTCAACTTTAGATTCTCATCCTAATTTGCTCAAAAATTGGGGTGGGAAGGCAGATTTTATTTTATTATATTATCATGATTATTATTGAAAATATCTACAAAAAGTTTTTCTTATACAATATTTTTACATTGCAACATTTTTAATGCCAATATGAATAGCTTTTGTTGTTTATTCTTTTAAATATTTAAAGAAGATTATTCTTATACAAAATATTTACAGTTTACACGCTATGGCACCTACCACTAAGAAATGGGGAGCACATCCAAATATATAGGCCCTAAACTGCACAATGTTGCTGTATGTGAAGCTCACAACTTCTCACTGGTTTGCTCCAAAAATGTTTTAGTTTGACCAATAACTTTTGTTTTGTGTAAAAATATCATGTTTCCACTGTCCTTATACAAGTACATCCTATTTTTTGTTCTTGACACATTTGATATCGTCGTTTTGTAAAACAGTGTGTCTTAAATATTTTTTTTGAAATGTCTATGCTGAACAGTTCTCAGATTTACTATTTCCTTATAAATATTATCCTCTAAAGCTTTTTTTAAGGCTCTTGTGCTATAAATAATGCAACACAACTTTTAATAAAAACAGGGAATAATTCTTAAACTGTGACTGTGATTCTTGTTGAGTAAACCATAAGAAATGCTTTTGATATATTACACAACAAACCATAACAACAATGTGGGACACTTTGATAGGATGAAAATCAAAATTTAATTTAATATCTGCCCTAATATTAAAGGAAAATATGCAAGCCCTATAAAAAAGGGTTATTTTGAAATAGTGTTTGAAAATATTTAAAAGTGTGATGCTAGGTAGATTTAAACTATGACTCTAAAACGTATACCTTCAGGGTTTTCCGTAAGAACTGGCTACCTGCCAAATGAACCACTTCAGTTGATAAAAATGCCACTTAGAAATCAAAATTTTCAAATATTTAATGCAAGGTTCAGAGAAATTTTGTTCATAAACCTCAACCCCTAGCCTGTTACAATTGATCTCTAACCCTTTACTTTGAAAAAAGGGAAAACACTGTACCTTGGGTTTCAAGAGTTAGCAGTCTAACCATCTTTGCTATCCTTACTATGGAAATATTTGGTATAAATATGAATCAGGCTGTCAAAAATATGCTTCTTTGTTTTTGGCATTTTTTTTTTATTTTTGGGTAAATAAACATGGCATTGAAGAAGTTGCTAATCCCTTAGTATATATGCATGTCCCTGATGAGACATGCAATAAATTTATGGATTTTTTTTTCTCTATGAAAGCAAAAACATTGAAAGTAAAGATGATAAATATTGCTACAATGTGTAATAAATGTAGGTCTCAAGTATAAGCAGACTATAAATTTTCTTTCAACATAATTTACATCTGTCAATCTTGTTTAATTATAAAATTATAACGGATATACATAGGGTTGGATACCGTTGAGGATGAAACGGTACAATACCAAACCGGTATTTTTGAAACAATACGGTATTTTTAATGGTACGGTACTATACCTTGATAAATTAGAATGAAGGTTCATTTTATAACAAATGCGCTTTCACCAGTCACCAACCTTTCAATGCTATAATCATAAATAAGCTTATCAACTATGTTTATATTTCGACCTTTTAATAAATTATCAACAAAACAAATAAATTGAATCTCAAACGAATTAATTTGACTAGATACATAATCACAATTATACACAACCTCCCTGGTTGGCCAGGACCCATTTTGTTTGGTCGCACTAAACAACGAAACATTATTAGAAAATGGATAGAGATGCACATCACTTTTTTGTGAAATTTTGCCTTTTTAATTTACATTTATTATCAGTTTTAATTAATAAAATTAAAACACGATTAATGTGAATGTATTTTAACTTAAAAAAAAATTAAACTTATTGATTTAGCTCGAATATCGGCAATCAAAAGCAAGTGTCATACTAAGCATCCATTTTGTGAATTAGCCTACCCTTCCAATGCGCGGAGAATTCGATTTTGGCGAGACTGGAATCGTTTTTCTAAAATGATTTTGAATATATCAAAATATTTCAAAGACTAAGAATTACTGATATTAATACCGGTATTAAATGAAACGATATTTTACCGGTACTTTTGAAACAACTACTAGGTATGGTATTGGTACCGCGTACCGGTATCCAACCCTAGATATACACATCCTACTCGTTTACTTTAAAATTGTTAAATAAACAAGCTGAACATACAGCATCTTCCAATCAACATAATCAAAAGAATATTATCAAAATTAACCACTGTTTTCTTTTATGGCTTCTCTTTATGCCATGAATGTATGCATACAACATTAAAATGTTCTTTTACAACTTATAAATATTTCCGTTTCAAGATAGAAAGTAATATGGAGCAAAAAATAAAAATTACATGAGATATTTCACTCCAATTTTCACAGCATGAACAAATTCAGTGTGAAACATAATCAGTGCAAATCATCCCAGATTTAGACAGGAGTGGGAAATATATGCAGGCCTCTGTCGATACTTGTTACTTTTACCCTGCTGAAATCATGTTTGTACCAGCCAAAATATTTGATGCAGAAAAATTTGATAACATATATAATTAAAATTACTTCCATAAGGTACCTCCCATTTTTGTAAAATTACCACCATTTCAATCTTGTTGAAAGCCCTGTATAGGTGGACAATTAATAGCGAGCAGCGCGAAACGCTGCTCGTCACTGCGAACTCTTAAAGCAACGCCTGGGCGAAGAGAAAATTCAGACTTGCACATTGATCCAAGTGAATTTTTTTCCGCAGTTACCTGTGGTCCCATAATGCTTAGCGAATTGCATCTCGCCGCACACCACGTTCTCGCAGTAGCAAAAATATTCAACAAAATATGAAATCACCTTGATTTAATGGATATATAGCAGAAAGATAGTAGATTAAACGTTTTTGATTAAAAATAGCACTGTTCAGACTTCGTTTTGGTAATGCAACATACAACGTCATATGATGTCAGAGTCCAGATGTAGCAAATGTCACGTGCGGTTTGACGAGCCCGATCTAAATTAAAACTGAAAGGTATCTGCACTCCCCCTAACGGTCGCACCGTCAACATATTAAGGTTGACTCTATTAATCCGAGATGATTATATAAGTCACTTACCAACATAGGCATTTAATTCTATCAACTTTGCCTTTATTGCTGACTAAAATTAAAAACAAAAAAAATATTATAATGAACATGTCAGTATACATTCAAATGGATGCATTAAACCACATGAATTTATTATCAATTACAGCAGGCATATCTTCAAACGACATTACATCAATACAATCTTGACAATAGAGGAATTTCGGATTGGTATCGTTATATTTTAAGTAGTACGTTTTGCAAAAACTGCACCTTCAGATAACTTGATAATAGTAACTAGAGTTGATTAAGCATAATCATATATAATTTTTACCCGAATTTTATGGCTAATGTCTTTTCCGTGATCCATTGCCGACAAGACGACGAATCAACGACGAAAAATTAAGAGGAATAGTGAATACTGAACCCGATATAGTAAATTGTAACATTTACTTATTTTTTATTATGAATGATAAATTTTTGCGTTATTAGTCGATATTGCACTTTGTATTGTGTTTGTCACACAATTTATAAAACCAACTGTTATTCCAGCGAAGTATTCTCATTATTCAAAAAGTGTTCCCTTCGTTCATATCGGGCTCAATATCCCAATGTTTAGGCCTTTTTTAACTTTAAATTTAGAGAACAAAAAATCCACGACACAGGGCTGACAGGGTTACAAGATGGTTCTGTTAGAAAATGACACGGTATATATGAACAAAAATAGTGTAGAAATAAGGATTGTTGTTTTTTTTTAAATCAATATATATTCTGAACTCTATTGAGAACTAAATTTAACAATTTTTTTCAGTTTTTGACGGAACTTACAAAGTTATTCCAGAAGGGGAAGACTTCAGGGTCAATATCGTTGACAATGAAGAGATGTAAGTACACATATATGAATAGTTTGTATGTCTGTTGTAATCATAATTATGTTGGAAGGTATTATTATAAAATATAGGAAATGTTAGCATGGATCAGGATGAGCCAACCAGTTCACTGATGTACAGTACCAGCATTCCATATTGTACCATTATTGAATACCTAAATAAAGATATTTAGCTAATTCAAGCTTTATAGCTAACTAAAGACATTGTGTTGGACCTGTTGTACATTTGTTATATTTTTTTTGTCCCAGAATATGAAAGATTGGGGCGTAATTTTCTTTTGTTTTCCCTCTATCTGTCAGTCTGCAAAAACTAAGTATTTGGCTTTAACTTTTGAGCCAATAATATTAAGTAAGTAATTTCAAGTTTTACATGCATATATATTCAGATATTTAATATGCCTTAATTTTCAAATGTACTAAGATCAAATGAAACCCTTATGTTTGTGTAATGTAACTGCATATGGAAAATATGATAGCAATGTAATTTTGACTATATTGACACATACTTCGTGAAAAATTACACTCTTCAAACTTCATATATGCATCACAAAGAGAGCGCATACAAATGGCATGGAAATTCAAAATAATTTCTTGCTTGGGTTTGTTGCTTCATTCATTCTGTGTTTGTTTCCTCCTTTTGGAGATTCATTATTATACAAAAATACACAAAGATAGTAACTTTACGTAAGTGCTAATTTGTACATGAGTGCATAAGTTAATAAGAAAATGACCTTAATCTGGGAGATATTCACATGTAAGTTTGCAATCGAGCTAGTGCACAGGGGCTACAACTGTTTTGATAATTTCTAGATAAAAAGAGTTTCTAAAAAACCCTTTTATCATGTTTATAATAAATTGGTCTGAAATGCTGTAGCAACATATACTTCATGATATTATTCCATAAATTTGATAAAATATGAACTTCAAATCTGTGTTCAAGCCCCTTTAACAAGCACACCCATCGTCGAATACCCATGGGTGATCTCGTCTTTTAATCATCACCGGGTGATGAGTAAAAGTTGAAATCACCAATGGGATCAGACCATGAAGCACATCTGTCATTTGAATACTTGGTAAAGGGTAAACTGGGCCATGTTTTGATTTTATGAACAGATAAAATTAAGGTGTTGTATTGTTTACATTATTTCTTTTTGAGTTAATTCTGGTCCATTGATAATTTTCACTGTCCAGTTGGGCTAGAACAGTGTAGGTATGAAAAAGACTGGTCCAGAACAGTGCAGTACTTAAAGAAGGGCACTGCAAGGTAGAGCATCCCTTGCAAAAGAGCACCTCAATCCCGGTATTAATTATTACTTGGTAACTTCAGTGATCCATGCACTCACTTACCCACCCACACAGAAGCGCGTTACTATATCCACTCCAACTTGTTGCGAGGGGATAAAAATCAGACTACATTTAATGTAATGGTGAATTTATTTTCCAATTTTAAGTTAATCAGTTTAAAAGAATCAAATTTCTTCACTGCTGTATCTTGATTCTTAATCACCTCTAGAAGTGCCGCATTCAGATTCTGCCTAACCCTTGTTTCCTGCACATATTTCTTGTTTCTTTAATAGATATACACGTACACTGTATCTTGTTCCAGCATTTAGAAAACATCACAATGTTTAAAAATATACTCCTTAAAAAAATTTGTCCTTAGAAATATTGATATTGAATTTACATTGCATATTTCAACCTAACAAAAACAAGGAATTGCTCGCATCTAAAATAGAACCTGGGCTCACAAACCTGTCTAGATAACTAACCCGACTGGGAATTGATTTTGATATGCATAAATAGTCACTGGTCCCAAGGACACATGCTTTCAACAAAGTACATGTACTCGCCAAAATTTACTGGCCCCAGGCAGACCAGTGGGCCATCAATGTTTTTGAACCCAGAAAGTGCACAAAATCATTTTCTCTAGAATAATGAATATACATGTATATATTTATATCATTCTGTTTCTCCATTGAAAAAATGAGTAGGAAGGGCCATCAGATTATTTCATTAAAAGTCAGCATTTTATGTTCCATATAGGCAGACATCATTTTCTCATATCTGTATGTACACTGCAGTATTTGGTTGAAAAGGGAGAAAAAGATTATCATAGAACTTGTGTATAAATTAATTTATTTGATGTTGAGTGCAAAAAAAGTATTGTTAGGAATCAAATATTATCTAACCATGATCAGGACAAGAAATAAAAATTGATAACTGGATGTATATTTTGGTTATTAGAAAAACATTAAAAGTATTTTTGAATTCAGGTTATTCAATAAGGAGCTTTCCATACTTATATAATCTTAGTAAATTTTACAGGGTTAAATTTGTCAATTTTATTGAGTGCCCATGACAATTCTATTTTCACGATTAATAAAAATACCAAATGTTGGATGCTTTTCCCTCATTCTAGAAAGTGCATTGATTTTTATTTATTTATTTATTTTTTTTTTTTGCATAATTATATATTTATTTATTTATTTTACCAAATATTAGAGGGGATGCCTTCCTTCCCAAGTTCCTATAGCCATGTGAGCATTCTTAGTTTAGATTCCACTTTGCACAAATTGTGGAAACAAGAGTATATGGTTAGACTGAAAGAGGTCCAAAGTTATACACAGAAATTTACTGAAACAGAAAACCAAAATTCTGAATCAAAGGAATTAACATTTGATCAGCACAAGCTGAAGATTAGTATTTTTCTGGATGCCTGTCAAGCATAGGATTTTCAAGATATTGAGCATACAGTGAGACATTATGAGGGCAAAATCTTAAGTTTAGAGTAGTTTGGTCCTTGACCTTTGATCTTGTATCCTTAAAATCAATAGGGGTCATTTACTTTTTAGGGAATACCAGTGTACTAAGTTTGATGTTTGTCAAACAAAGGGTTCTCAAGATATGAACAGACAATATCTTCTTATATCTAAAGTAGCTTGACCCTTGACCTTGTGATTTCAAATTCAAAAGGGCTCATCTAATTAATTTTTAGGGGGTACCAGTTACCAGTGTGATGTCTTTCAAGCAAAAGGTTCTCTAGATATTGAGTGAACGGCACTTGGTCAACCAACCAGAACATTGACTGACGGGCACAAAAAAAATATCCAAGCATTATTTTAAGTGAGATCAAACGTATTGAAATTATTATGGCTTACATGGTGGACATAAGAAGGAGTTTTGTTTACAAGTCATTTGGTGAAAGCAGAGTGACTAAGCTGAGGATTATAACCCATGATGTTTCACACTGTTCTGTATCATTTGACTGTTGTTTGTACAGTGGGAGTGGAATTATATGAAAATCTCTGGTCTACAGTGTGAAAAATTGCAGATGAGTAAAGAAAAATGTTTTAATTAAACAACTTACAAGAAAGGATAGTCCTATGTGGGTATATGGTATTATTGATGTCACACACACCCAGGGTGTGAAAAACTGACAACTTATACAATGATATGGAATAAATGAGAAACAAAAATGTATCAGTAGATAAGATCTAACACCATTTTTCAGGGCTTTCAAAAACATTTGAAACAGATGGTACTTTTCCAAAGATAGGAGGCACCTTGTGGAAGCAATTTTAATTAGATATGATTGTCAATTTTTTCTCTAACAAATATTTTGTCCCTGTAAAATCATGATTTAAGCCAGGTAAAAGTACCTGGTACCGGCACATTTTGAAAGGCCTGCCTTTTTTACTTTGCAGAATTCTGATTTAAACAAGTACAAACAAAATTATCAATATTATTTTGCTGAGGTGCAATTAGAAATGAGTACCACCATATTTACTTAGGTCTAATTGAATTAGTACAGAGTTAAGTTCTAACAATGTCAATAAAATGATGTTTTTATGATAAATAATGTTGTTATTACCGTAATTTACAGATGATGGAAGAACTAAGCCAGAACCTAGAAAAGGCAGTCTTCCAGAGCCTCATGAATATAAATGTTTACTAAGGGCCACATTAGGCAACAAAAAAATTAGCACAGTGGTGAGTAGTATTATATAGTATGGACATCTCAATAGACTTCAACACTGCATATAGCTGTACATCACAAACATATTGGATGAACATACTGTATTTTCACTTATTTTAGAAATATTCATATTTTAATGTTTTTGGTGGAATCATTTTTTTTTTCTTTGATATCAATTGATTTTGCCAATTTGAAAATACAGTTGAACTGTGGTATATCTCAAACATCAATATCTTGAATACCATGGATATGTTGAAGTGACTTGGAAGTCCCAACAGCGTATTCTTTAAGAATTTTAACCCTGATATCTCAAATCCTTGGATATCTTGAAGTTTTTCCTTGCATGGTCCCATGAGGAGGTTTGACTGTATTATTGTATATAGATGTGGTATGTAGAAATAGTGATATTGGAAAATGTCATTTTGCCAAACAGTCCATTTACCTAGATGTGGTAAATTTTGAACTAAACTGGGTACATCTGCACTATACAGTATGCTATAGTTTATAATGTTTTACCAACACCAGTGCTTCCAATCACACTGTATGTCCTAGAAAACCTTCTTGAAAATGACATGATGTCCTCTTACACTCTAACTTTTGTTTCTCTTTTATAACATTTGAATGTATCTATTATGTAAATAAATGTGTCACATTTAACATTTAAAAAAAAAACACTGCGAATAGAAATTCTTCTCTTTGTTTTTAAAATATCAGTGCCCTGGTATATAAATTGTAGTAGATCTCCACCTTTGGATATACAAATTTTATGTACAATACATTAGGAGGATTTCTGTATTTGGTGATTTTAAATTGGGTCAATTCAAAGTGAATGTAGACAATGAGTTTGATACCATGAAAATCAAGTTAAACATTTATAGATGCTCTATATATACTTTTTATAACATTTTTATTTGCTTGATGAATGATGTTTTCTTGTGTATTTGTTGCTTTGAATGCATTTTCTGTCATATCAGTACATCACTATCACTATCTGCATACTCAGAAAACCAATCTCACCCATCTAAAACTTCATGAACATTTTATTATCAGCAATCTCTGAGGCACATGTCCAATAAGCAATATCCATCTGAGAGTTGGCAATAGGTTAGAATAAGAAATCATATGCCATTTCTATACAAACTGAAATATTTCTTTTTTTACTTGCAATATATATTAGTATTGCTCAAAGTACAATTACATCTGAACTTCATAGAATACATAAATATGTAGGACAATGGCCACCTTTCTAACTCCTCCAGTTTCAGGGCTCACATACAATGTACTATGTAACTGTATGATTGAGGATTGTTTATTATACATATTGTATTGGGGTCTCCTATTACAGAAAATATGGGTAAAAATATCAATTAATATGTAGAGGAAAATAATCATTTAGTCAAAAGGCAGAAAAAAAGACTGCAGTGTTAAATTATACATAAAATATAAGTACAATGCCAAATCTTACAGCAAAAAGTAAGTTAAAAAAAAAACAAAAACAAACTTGAAAGCAAATTTTAAAAGCCAAATTATATATGTGTAGATTTTAGCTAACAAGACCATTTTGTGTAAAAATTTCCCATCGATTACCAAAAAAACCCCATACATAATTGTCATTTTATCAATTATATTTTAAACTGATCGGATTTATGTCTGGCAAACATGTGGCCTTTTTTTAGAGTCCCTGCTTTCAGATATATTTTTTATGCCCCAATGGCCTTGTAGATCTTTTCATGTCGCTTTATTTTTTATTTTGAAGGTTGAAAAAAAAAAGTTGAGGAACTCTAATAAAAATAATTCCTATTAATAGAACTCTGATGTTTCCAACTTTAATCTGATTTACATTGTATCAGCATTGAATGATCTTCTTTCAAAAGTAAATGGACATGTACAGGAGATTCAGTTAAAATCTGAAGTTAATTGAGATCTGGTTATTCATTTGTACATTGAAGTATATGAACAATTTACGATAATTTTCTTTTTTTTCAGATAAACCAAAAAGATGTTAACAAATTTCAATTGGTAAGTGCATTTATTTAAGCTAGAGTCAAGTCATACTGGACTATAAACAAATGCAATGATTACACAGTCAAATCTTAATGTACTTCTGGAGTTACACATTGTTAAGAATGAACAAAAACCTCTCTAAAAGCATTTTTAGCATGTTCATATACAAAGAAACCTGTTTGGGCACAATATTATTATTTATCAGCTCATATAACTGGCCCTCATCAGATTTTCTGCACACCTTGGTCATGAATATGTTATTTCAGGATTGTTTACCCATATGCCTTATGGATATTAAAATCCAATTGATTTTATGTATAGATTCAGTTTGATTTTTATTCTTTTTTTATTCTTATAGGCATATGCAAATCTTTTAAAAGGCAACATGGATGGATTGAAGAAAAAGGACAAAAAAGCAGCTGCTGCCAAATCAAAGTCCAAAGCTACACAGTGAAAAAGCATTTCATTTTTGACCTCTCTGATACATTGTCACATCATCCATTAAATGTTTCCTAACACCAATCATTTTATGTTATGCCATCTTTCATTATTTTGTTATATATGTTATTGCAAGTTATCATTATTATGAGAAAAACTTGTGAATGTAAAACTGTTGTCAGGACACATAATTTACTGAATATTTGGAGCACCATTTTAGGGTCAGGTACATTTTTGATGTTTGATTACATGATTTCTATGGAGAAATGTTCTCATTGATCAGGAACAGCTTATTTTATAAAGAGTGGGTACTATTATTAATCAGATTGTTGATACATGTATTATTGTTTAGGAATTAACCAACATTTTCAAACAATTTTTGTAATCATGTCCAGAAAAAGTTATGGAGGTTTGAAATGTTTGATAACCCAGAAGAAACATTATTACTAATAATTGTTCGGTGAAGAAATAGTGTTGTATAAGTATGTGCAATAGAGTAAAAGGAATTCAAACAAAGAACTTGATAGTTGTGTTAAGGTAGAGTTTGAAAAAAAAAATGTTATACAAAATATACATGAATTGGTTATTGAATTAAAGTTTGATATTCCAAAAAAAACCTTTTATTTATGACAGAATTTAAGAGGTCTAAGAATTTCTAAAAGGTGTGTTGATAACTATTCTATGAACTCTCAAAAAAAATAGGGCCATATTTATTTGTAAGAATTTTAAGTTGGTTCAAATCAATGACCACAGGGGGTGAGGGTTTTTTTTTTATTTTTATTTATTTTTTTTTTTTTTAGGCTTGTCAGATTTTTTGGGGAGTTGCCCCCTCTCCACTTTTGAAACCATTGCTACAGGCCTGCATATGCCAGATCCCAATGTAGTGCAGTTTCTAGTTTGTTTGAATCATGGCCCCTAGGGCTAACTAGGGTGGACTAAAATAAGGATTCAAGAGCTAGGAAGTATATTAGTGCCACGTAATATTTTTTTTTAAGTTGGCTTTTCCAACTTTAAAGTTGATAATTCCAACTTTAATCTTGGCTTTTCCATCTTTGTATGGCTTTATGCGTTATATTCAGAAACTTTGTAGCTGGACTCCTGTTGCCGTTTTATACATGTAATTACAATGGAAAGAAATGATTTAATTATGAAATGATGAAAGAAGAAATCATTTCATTGTTCTGTAGTATTTGTAGCATGTAATATAGTGTTGATTCATCCTTATATAACAGACACCTAATAATTGTATTATTTGTTTAAGCTTATTCTCTCATACAAAACAAAATACATTGTATAGTCTGATCTCTTAAACAGATTTGGTTATAATCCTGTCATTTACGGAGTTGTATGGAGTTATTCTCTATGTAATTATATAAGATGGACCAAAAGAATATAAGGGTTTTTAATTAAAAGTTGAAAGTTATATGTAAGGTCATAGGAAAGGTCAGTGTGACAAATAATTGACACAGATTAATCATTGCTCACCAATCAATTTGAGTGTATTAATTTTGCATTAATGGTAGGTAATAATTTAAAATAAAGGAAAAAAGCTAAGGAAAAGGGCTAGAACAGCTCAGATTAAAGTTGGAAAAGTCAAGATTAAAGTTGGAATTATCAACTTTTAAGTTGGAAAGTTGGAAGTGCCAACTTAAAAAAAAATATTACGTGGTACTAATACGCTTCCGTAAGGAGGGGGCCACAATATGTCAAATTTTTCATGGGAGGAAATATGAAAATCTACTGATAAAGAACATCAGAACCAAAGCTACTCGTGTATTGTAGCATTTACGTACCATTATTGATTGGGGAGGGGGGGGGGTTAAGTCTTATTTTAAACAGCAGAAATTAGGACTGTGGCAGTTTCAACGGCATAAAAATATCTGTGGCGATAGTAGGAGGACTTCATGAATTTCAGATAAGAACGGTTACTGAAATGTTACGTGTTCTACGGATGTTCAAATACATATAAAACAAGCGGTTGTCCATCGACCTGCTTGTCATTCTCTTTCTCGAAACAGTTTGGATGGGTATAAATATGTCAAGAGCTGACGTGAAAACAAAGTAACGAAAAGCTCTCTTATTCCGATAAAAAATGTTAAATACATTTAAAAGAATAATTTATTGCTTTAAAAGTACACCAAGAATGAGATGGAAATAACAATTTTATCTTGTCATGAACATTTAGAAATCATTGATATAAACCATTAAAAAAGTGGTTTATTGACATAGATGCACCTATTTAGAGTTAATAAAGAAAAAGGGAAGGAAACATTGTGCATTACATATTAGGTGATATATATTAAATAAAAGTTTTACAGAGCAAAACTGGTATTAAAGGGGCCTTGACGACAATGCCATTCTTCATAATATATCTTCAAACATCTGTGTTTGTAAACAGGGCACGAGCTCTGTTGTTTACGTTTTACCGGGTGTGATCAATTTGCTTAGTCTGCACACATCACTGAGTACGGACTGACAATACTGGTGAGTTGGTTTTGCTTTCACATATTTCTATTTTGGATTTCCTGGATTATAGTTTTAATATTTTTCATTAATACACAAAACAATTTCTACTTTTTTAAAGTTTACTTCGCGGAAGTGCTAGGCTTTGTGTCAATCAAACGCGTCCCAGAATTCGTAGTTTTAATAATTTCCAGATAAATGAAGTTTCTTAACACGCTTTTATTATATTTCGGTGTGAAATGCTCTAGCAACATATAAGTTATGATATTGAAAATTTTAGAAAATATGAGCTTCAAATCTGTGCCCAAACCGCTTTAAGCAGGGATTGACTTTTTTGCAACATGGGTTCAAACCTCTTTTACTAAAATACAAATAGAAGCCTTGTCGGCAGACAAGATATTCAGTGTTATTTTTTTCTGGAAGTGTAAGCGTGGTTGAATAAGAATTTGATAGTTGAATTTGATAATATTAGTTTTAAACAAAACTCTTCTGAGAAAGCTACATCATGGATATCCGACGAAGTTTTCTTAGATCATTTGAGGTCTAAGTATGAATGGATTGATTTTGTACTATGGCAAATCTCTTAACTGTAATAGCAATTACAGTAATTATAAGTGATATAAATAGCGTAAATAATTCACAAAGTTCAAGTCAACCGTAAAAAAAAATGTTATTGGTCGAAATGAAGAGCAACCACCTTTTATTTTGACACACATGATGTTACAATTGGAAGGTCACTTTTGTATTGTGTATAAGCAAATTACTAGTATAGTAGTAGAGTTTCTTCTTTCTGAAAGAACACAATTTCACTCTAACGGGGGGGGGGGGGGGCTTCAGAAAGTATATAAGAGGGTTCATGTAATGGGGAAAAATTAAATTTTAAAAACCATCAGCTGAGTAGATGTGTCTTGTAGTTTGTGACAAAAATATTTATCAAGCTAGAATTGATGAGAATTTATTCACCCATTATTATATCGACCGAAATGGGGTGGGGGTGGGGCACATTTAGCGAATTATACCTTCATACTTAGTGTCAAAGTCCTATGACAAGCAAAAACTGCTATTTTCGTACCAAAGTTCTTTTTTAGATGTACATGTATTTACTCTTCCATCCATTAAAAAGATGTAAGCTTGCCCACCCCTCCACACTTTCAACAGTTGGTGGGCGGCACCTATGCTTCCTATTATTCATGTGAAACACGGTATCCATTACCGAAAACCAGAAATACAATTTTGACTATTCGGTAGATATGAGAAATATTTTTTCAAACAGACTTAATTGACAAAAAGAAAATCTTTCCGGAAGCGGAAAATGCAAGATACGAGTAAGGAAAGGTGTAGTAAACACAACCTGTCTCAACGCAGATCATTGGAGAAAATCTTAGCCCATGCGAAAAAGGAAGCACAGCGCCTTTACTCACACTAGACACGTTTTTAGTCAAACCAGAACTGCTATAGTTACGTCAACATCACTTCCTTAAATAGCTGAGGAGGGAAAGTAAGACGTTGCACTTTTTTGAGGAAGGAGGAGGTGTCAGAAAACAGGAAAGCAGAGAGGTAGCTATGGATCGTATTTGTTGTAAAGTCTCCTATCCAAACCCCCTTCCTTGCCAAAGAGCGTACACGATCGTCTGATCCTTCAACTCATATCAGAACAAAACCACAACAATCACCATGCATGCAAAGGTAGCAAAAATTATTATCAGTACATAGCAACAATTAATCATCAGTGCATTGGCAGCAAAAGTTTAAATCATAAGCACATAGACAGCAACAATTCATCATCCAGACCTAAGCAGCAGCAACAATTTTAATCATAAGTGCAAAGGCAGCAACATTTGTAATTTTCATAACAAAGGCAGCAACATTTGTAACCATCAGAACAAAGGCAGCAACATTTGTAACCATCAGAACAAAGGTAGAACAAAGGCAGCAACATTTGTAATCATCAGAACAAAGGCAGCAACATTTGTAACCATCAGAACAAAGGCAGCAACATTTGTAATCATCAGAACAAAGGCAGCAACATTTGCAATCATCAGAACAAAGGCAGCAACATTTGTAATCATCAGAACAAAGGCAGCAACATTTGTAATCATCAGAACAAAGGCAGCAACATTTGTAACCATCAGAACAAAGGCAGCAACATTTGTAATCATCAGAACAAAGACAGCAACATTTGTAACCATCAGAACAAAGGTAGAACAAAGGCAGCAACATTTGTAATCATCAGAACAAAGGCAGCAACATTTGTAACCATCAGAACAAAGGCAGCAACATTTATAATCATCATAACAAAGGCAGCAACATTTGTAATCATAAGTACATGGGCAGTAACAATAAATCATCAGTGCATCGGCAGCAAGAATCTTTTAAAACATCGGTACGTACGCAGCTACAACTAATCATCAATGCATAAGCTGCAACAATTTGAATTATTAGGTCATCTTTACTAAATCATTACCAAAACGTCTTACATTTCCAATGTTTTTCTTAGCGGTCAAAAAAAAAATTCGATGTTGAACGGCCGAGTGAGATATTGGACCTGTCGATGAGATATTGGACCGCTATGACGTTTTCACATCACACTGTACATGCTGTAGGCGGGATTATCTATATTTTATCAATTATTGTAAACATGGAAGCCAGCTAAAGATATGTCAAAATAAAAAGTAAAAGACATAACAAAACATTTATTGACTGTTCTCGGGGTAAATGCGTTTTGTCGGACCCAAGAAACCTTCAGAGAAAATGCACTCTTAAACTTTTTATTACTATTCTCTTCAACGAGAATTTATCTACAAAGCCATATATGGCATGCTTGCGATTTGTTAGTGAAACGGTCGCCTGAAGTTTAATTCCGAACTTCGTTTTTAATGATGATATCAAGGGGGGGGGGGGGGGAGGGGGGGGGGCTGTATCGCGAGGAATGATTAATTCAGTATTGAAAAAGTCTTGAATAGAATGAATCAAACTTGAGCTTTTTGTTTCCCACATCATATTTACAGTCATTGAATAATGACATGTTTAAAATGCGATCTTTGGGGAGGGGGGGGGGTAAAGCACAAAAGTTGGATTTTGTAAAAGCATAAGTGCTCTGCCCGTCAATTGAAATATATTGTCAAACATTTAGTACGTGATCATTTTCGTCTT